AAAAAAAAAAAAGAAAATGGTTTCATTTACAACTGTTTCTGGTTATGAAATTTTGAGTGGGTATGATTATCATTTGACTTTGCCATCAGGAAAGTGCCAGCAGTCACCAAGCATAAATAGAGCAGGATTCCAAGTCTGTCTCGATGTGGAGGTTAGCCTTGCCTCTTTGCAGAAGCTTCTAGTACTTTCATGTGGGCCCTTAAATTAGTCTGAAGAGAATGTGCCTATCTCTTTTTGTGGTTGCAGATTGTGAGCTGCTTGATACTATCTAAAAATAGTTTTGAGAAGGGCTTGTGTAATACTTGGAGTGGGGTGGGGGCCTTGGGTGACCCACTTTTGTAGCACTTGACACCTGTGGGTAAAGACCTGTGCTTTGTTGTGGAGACTCGAGGCTCCCACTGCTTGCCTATTATGGTAAAAAGAATTGCGTTTTAGCGTTATGTTGGAGAAATGGCTTTCTAAAGCCTGTGCTTCTGGATTTTGATGTATTTTACTCTTTCCAGGAGTACTCTTTCCAGTTACCTAATCTGTAGGATTGAGGCAAACTGCTTAACACTCACATGGATGGGTAGAGGTGATTTAACATTTATTTACAACTTTCATTGCCTTAGAAAGCATTTAATTTGAGGGATGTCAGCATACCTGTAGACTATATATTGCTCATCTCAGTGCATAGGGTTTTTGTTTGTTTGTTTTTAGCTTGGTGCTGCCTATTTACTAATTAAAATAAAACTATACTTTTTCTCATTATATATTAAGAGAATATTTCAGAGATGCAACAAAAATGAAGTAGAAGAGTTGCAAATTGTTTTACACATCTCTTTTAAAGGTTGGACATTTATAACATATGGATTAGTTTACTTTAAAGCTTACATTTTTATAATTAGAAAATCTTGAATTAAAGTGATACGAAGTTTATATTTAGGTAAAATTGAATTTCTTTGCAGGTCCACAGTTCCTTATTCACAAATCTGATATATAAAAAGCTCCAGAAACCAAGTTTTTGCTAAGACTTACTGGTGGGTGACATTTGACCTGATTTGATGTTAGGCTGTCTACTCCGTTCATCCCTCTTGATGTAGCCAGTAATAGCTTTCACTGGAGAAACATTCCTGTGCTTGATTTCAGGGTGCTGGTTCAGATTCCCAGGAGAGTTTTTGGGAACACAAGTATAAGTACAATGTTACCTTTCTAAAATCCAAAAGACACCTTGCAGTTTGAAACATCTTGGTCCTGTAGTACAGCCAGGGTAGACTAATGAAGGAAACGCAGACTGGTAGCTATCTGAATAGTTGTAAAGAATAGTGGATATTATCTTGAAAGATGTCTTGGTTACTTGCTTGTTGGTGGGACAAAATACCTGACACCTTCAGGTAGGAAGGAGGAAGGGTTTATTTTAGCTCACAGCTAGAGATTTCAGTTCAAGGCAGGGTGGCATGGCAGAGGGTTATCATAGAGGAGAACCGGTCCGTGGCAGGGCAGGCGGGAGGCAGCAGCAGCAGCAGCAGCAGCGAAACAGTAGGAACAAGCCTCTGTCCCTTCCAGGCTGCCCTCTATCCCTCTATTCCCTCTGACCCTCCCAGGCTTCAAGCCTTTTGGGTGGTGCCCCCCGCACCTATGTTGGGGCTTCACATTATTCACGCTTATATTAGAAGTTTGATATATGTATTTTTAGGTCAAAAGTACGTTTAAAAAATTACACTATATGTGCTTTGTCTTTTAAAAAAGTGCTTAGTGAATAATAAGTTTTTATGTAGTCAAATTTATCTTAGTGTCACAGGAAATTCCTCATTACCATGTTTATAATAGGTACCTAC